AGCTCAGCTGGGCCCTTGTCCTGACGATCTTTGGACCTCCTCCCAGCTGCTTGGTAAAGCTTGTCCACCTCTTCTTCAGGATCTTCTTCCGAATCCTCGCGCACGTCTTCCTTGTGAATAGTGGCAGTCTCTGGAACGTTTCGCTTAGGCCGCATGTTCTTGACCGCCCCACCTGCAGCTTCTTCAGCCGAAACCTCTCACAGAGCATCTTGGAAGGAGACATCTTCCCTGGCGAACAGTCTCTGCTGTAAGTCTGTGTTCCTCAGTCCACACACAAAACGATCGCGCAGTCTTTCCTCTAAGTCCTTGAAGTCGCACGGTTTAGCTGCTCTTCTCAAGGCCGCAACGTATTCTTTTGCTGATTCTCCAACTCGCTGATCTCTCTGTTGAAATGTGTGCCTCCAAGCCATGACAGATTGCTTGGGCTGGAAATGTTCCTTTAAAGTTTTCTTCAGATCCGAGTATGATACCGTTTCCAGCGAGTCCGGGACGATTAAGCTCTCGGCGATCTCAAAGGCGTCTTGCCCACAAATGCACAACAATGTGGCAGCCTTTAAGCCTTCCTCCTGAATCTGGTTTTTGCGGAAATATGTCTCGACTCTTGCAACATAAGATTCCCACCTCTCGGGGTGAGAGACGTCGAATTCCGCTAAACGCCCAACTTTCGCCATGATCGAGGATCAGGTCTTCTTCTTCAGCCGCACGCACCCTCCAGCGATTTCGTACTGGCAGGATAACGCTGACTTCCACACCGTTTTCTCTTCCGGACTTCTTTGGGTGAGTCTTCAAGCTTTCCTAGCTGTTTAGACTGAATCCCACCTTCGTCGCCAGTGTTAAGTCCAGAGAATAATGGCGCTTGAGACGAAGCATTTCTAACAAGTCTTTATTCTCTGCTTCCATTCTACGAACAACTCGACCAGAGGTTTATTTATACCTTCTGATCCCCGGGCAAGTTCAACCAATCATGAGGCGGTCTTTTCCCGCCTTGCGCATGCGCACAAGGCCGGCGCCACTCAGTCTGGTCCCGGGCAGCTTTTGCAAATGCCCGGGACTCTTGCAACGTCCCGAGCCTGCTTTTGCAGGCTCAGGACACAACAATATCTGCTAGCTCCTTTAGGACTCTGGGATGTAGTCTGTTGGGTCCCGGTGATTTATATTCACATGTTTATTGGATCCGTGTCCCTCCTGGCTGGTACTGGCAGCTCGGGAGGGTACACGAGCCTGGCTCCAGGGAATTATAAACGCTTCTTTACGGGAGGGTGCCTTCCCCGCGATCCTAAAGGAGGCGGTGGTGAGGCCCCTCCTGAAGAAGCCTTCCCTGGATCCAGATGTACTGGCTAACTATCGTCCAGTCTCC